TATCAGCCCCTCTTCCCAGTTTTGTGTTGTCTTTCTAGGGATGGAGGTGAGTCTGACTGGCCTGTAGTTCAAAGGGTTCTCCTTCTTGCCCATTTGAAGACTGGGGCGACATTTGTTTTCTTCAGGTCCTCAGGCACCTCTTTTGATAGCAGTGAGTTTTCAAAGATGATCAAGAGTGGCCTAGCAATAACATCTGCCAGTTCCTTTGCTACTCAGGGAAATCAGAGTAGGTTAAAGAATTAAAACCAAATCTTCAAGATATCTTCCTCCACCCCTCCCTTCTTCCCAGGCTCAACTTCACTACTGAGTTTCTCTGCCTCCTCTCCGTGAGCAGCACAGGGGAACAGGGAATGCAAGCCGACATCAGTTCATCACACATTGTCTCTGATACTTCTTCCTCCTCACATTCTCACCTTGCTCCCACATGGGATCTCTCCCAAGGGACGCAGTCATCCACAAACTTCTGCAGTGTGGGTCTTTCCCATAGGCTGCAGTTCTTCTGAAACCTGCTCCCATGTGGAGTCTTCACAGGGTCACAGCCTCTGTCAGGCATCCCCCTGCTCCAATGTGGGATTATCCCCATGCTGCAGGTGGATATCTGCTCCACCGTGAACCTTAATGGGCTGCAGGGGCACTGCCTACCTCACCATGGGCTGTACCATGGGCTGCAGGGGAATATCTGCTCCTGTGCCTGGAGCACCTCCTCCCCTCCTTCGCTGATGCAGGTGTACATAGAGTTGTTGCTCTCAAATATTCTCACTCCATTCTTTAGATGCTGTTGCACAGCAGTTTTTTCCCCACTTCTTAAATGGTTATCACAGAGGTGGTACCACCATCCTCGATGGGCTCAGTCTTGGCTGCAGTGGGTCTGTCTTGGAGCTGGCTCTGTTGGACATAGGGAAGGTTCTAGCAGCTTCTGGCAGAAGCCACAGATGTACCCCCTGCTACCAAGACCTTGCCATGCAAACCCAAAACAAACTGTTTCTTCGCTTATCTCTGTGACTGAAATGTGGGTCTTCAGGGTTCCCCATCTTGGCATTTACGTGACTAGAGAGCTTCCTTCTCTCTTGTGTTTGTGAAAAAGCTTATGTACTTCTTCTCTGTAAAAATGTATTTTTAAAATTCAAAAAATATTTCAGTAAGAATTAACTAGTTTTATTGTCTCTCCAGTGATGCTTTTTTTAAAAGAAAGGCATGTGGTTTGCCTTCATTTATAGTAGAATTATGATTCACATTCATTTCCTGCGTTAATGGCACAGAATTAACATGTTAAGAATTTGAAAAATTGAAAGGCTTTTTATTGAAACAGAAGAGTAGCTGAAATATCTGTGCTGCTGAGAGCATAATAGCTTTTAAAATTGGTGGAAGAAGCTTCCTTAAGCTTGCACCATTACAATTTTCTTTAAAAATTCTCAATAGTAGTAATTGACTGCATATGCTTGTGAGGTAAGAGTGACTAAGAGCTTGTCTAAAAAAGCTAGTGAAGAGGAAGGCAGAGCAGGAACAAGTGCAGTTGTTCTTTTGCTAATGCTGCTCTTTTGCTAATGCTTTTCGTGTGGACACTTTACACGCAAAAACTAGTTGATGTAAATTAAAATTTGTGAATTTAGTTTAACCAGTTACAAAGCTAATAGAATTCATTACAGAAATGTATTTTACATAGTTTCAGAATGTATGGATTCATTAAAATGACTGGATTTCTAGGGTGTTGTTTGTCTGGGTTTTCTGATTGTATTATAAAAAACAGAAAGATAGTTGTTTCCAAGTCTTCTTTTAATAAAACAAATTCTTGGCATGTGGTCAAGAGCACCAGCTTTTTTATTACTGTGTAGCAAAGAACTTGCTAAGGAATTGTGTTCATCCACTAAGTGTGTTCCCAGTGTCATGGGCAAACTTGTACAGCAGGTACTAAAGCGTGTTCTGTTGGGCTATGCTACTGGATGAAATCTAGTGTGGCTCTGTAGATGGTGGGATAACGCTTCTCTGTTGAAGTAGAGGCAGCCTTTAATGCTCCGATACAACTGTCAATATATTACGAAAATATAGATAATTGCATAAAAATAGACTCTATTTTCCCTTATTGGCAGTAATAAATACATTGTTACAGATTGATTTAATTTTGCCTTGCCCTTACCAGTTCAATGTATTCTGCATAGACCTTTTCCACACCCTGTTCTCCTTTGGCCACATTATTCTTCCCCTTGCTTCCAGCCGTTGTACCTCTCTTCACAGTAGTTAAAGGTCAGCTTCTGTTTGTGATCTAGCTCAGGAATCCAGTTTTAACTACTAGTTAAATTTTCAGGCAGGTGCTTTTCTAGAGATTTCAATTTGCTACTTGAAGGCAGCCCCTTTGATAAGCGAAGCCTTTCCTTTAGGGAAAAAAACCACCAACACTGTGTTGCCAGTGCAGTAGGTGTCTGCCATGCTGAATTGTATCCATCAGTTTTTCCCTTTCAAATGTTCCCTCTTGTCACCATTCCTTTGATGTTTCATATATAGAGGAAGGGTTTTGTTATAGCAGACTTGTTTGGGTTTTATTTTGAACACTGTAGATTGCTAACAAGCTTTGGGTGGCACGGGCAGGTACAACTGTATGAACAGTACTTAAAAACGACTTTTATATCTTTAATGTGTCTTTTATACCATTACCATATCCAGGAATTTTGTGTTGCCTACTTAAAATTGAATGTCTCTTTCTCTCTCTCTCTCTCTCATGTTCTGTTTACCCTTTATTCTCCCCTGGCAACTTAACAGGAGGCTGAATTTCAATCATTAAGAGAAGCTCTCTCCTTTGTATCATTAATTGATGGATATTACAGATTAACTGCAGATGCCCACCATTATCTCTGTAAAGAAGTAGCACCACCATCAGTTCTTGAAAATATCCAAAGCAACTGCCATGGACCAATTTTGTAAGCAATTTTTAGCTATGTAACAAGGTGATGCTATTTTTGAAAGATGAACTTCTGTTGACTGCGAACTGTGATGGACATCTTTAAATGTATACTTATTAACTTTATGTACCATAAAATGCTTTACATTTTTCCTCTTAATTTTCACTTTGCAAAATACAGTCTCTTTTTCACTTATTAAAAATAAATGGAAAAATTCTGGTTTTAATTTTTTCCATTAGAATTCATTTTATCTTGAAGTGAGACAGTCAGGAAAGTCATGATGTTGATTTTACAGACTTATATTTATTACCCTGGCAGCAACATACCATGTCATAGACAGAGGATTGCATGTTTTCACTGCAGCCTCTTGCAGTTTTATTATCTGAGTTACCAGTGGGAAAAAGGCAAATTCAGATAGCATTTTCCTCAATATTTGAGCAAGTTAATAGTTCATATAGTATTGTTTGTTTTTTACAGAAACACACGTGGGAGCTTATAAATGTTTTGTTAGGCAGAATAAAGTGGGTATTTGCTTTAGCTACAGAAAGCTTTAAGCTGATGATGTGCAAGGTATGTTACATGAAACTAGCACTGTCTACTCAGCAAATACAGAATAGTTCTGTAAATTTCCCAGTGACAGAAACAGGATAGGTGCTGTAATCTTCACAAGAGATAGAGGAGAGGGATATAGACCTCTGCAGTTCTAACCACATTTCTTGCACCAGTGACTACTGCTATGTATTTATTTAGGCTGTTTAGAAGGATACACAATGAATTTAGATATTTCCAAGCAATTTTATTCCTCATGAGATGGATAAAAATAGTAAGTTAGCAAGGCTTAAGGGGAATTATTCTTGTAGTAACAAATTACGTTTTATTTCGGCTTCTCTTTCGTATTAGCCTTTTCTAAGTTAAACCCACCTTTTTTACCCATGCAAATATTTTGCTAATTTTAACTCATTTATTAGGCAGTTTTATTACAACTTCTTCCTAATGGATGTTGAAAGTTGTATCATAAGACACGGGGAATATACTTTTTTAGACTGTAAGATTTCTTATCAAACAAATAATTGCAGTGTCTTCAGTATAAAAAAAAAATGTAGTATTCTGCTCTGTACATTTATATACATGTTTCTGAATATTGGAAAGTAAAGGGACAAAAAGATTAACTTAAAGGAAGCTGTAAAAAATGAAGAGTTTGAATTGCTGTTGTATTAGATATCTGATAGTAGTGCTTATTGGCCAATCTCTGATGTTCCTCCATTTTGATATTACGCAATATTAAATATTTTCTTTTTATTATAGCATGGACTTTGCTATCAGTAAACTGAAGAAAGCGGGTAATCAAACTGGCTTCTACGTTCTTCGATGCAGCCCTAAAGATTTTAAAAAATACTTCCTCACCTTCGCTATAGAGGTTTGTATTACACCTTACATAGTACCTGTATAATCTCTCTGTGTTATAATAATGAGCTTAGGATGTTAAGTGAATGATTCTAAATTTTTTCTTCAGAACGTTTGTATTCAGAATGTGTATATTCTGTAGCTACTTTGGTCAGATTGGCCAGGTTTCAGGGTCTTGTGAGAAACATCAAAATATGTGTATGGTAAAGAATTGCTACTGACACATACCATATGCCTAGGAGAGTAAGACAGGTGGAGGGGAGAGCTTGAGAATCCTGGGGATGGTGACGTGGCTCTTGGAAATGTAGTACTTGTTTAGGTAGTAGAGCAGTTTGTTGGGTTTTGTTTTGTTTTGTTTTTAAAGTTTGGGGCTTTTTAGTTGTATTTTTGACCTAGGATTTCCACTGACACTTTCTTTTCTCCTCTCCTGAATAGGGCTTAGATAAACTGAGTATACAGCCTGTGGTGATGTGAGAGTCTCTCTCCTTCACAGGTTCTTCTGGGTTTGGATCCTGTCCCTGTCCCCTGTGCTGGGCTAGCTGGGTTATTTTTCAGCTGTTATGTAAACACAGTTCTCCTGCTGGGTATCTTGTGTTAGCTAGAGTGGCAGTCACCCTTGAAATGCCTGCAATTTTCATGCAGCTAAAGAACCAGGAGTACCTCTCCTCTGAGACTGCACTTAGCGATAATACAGTACTTTAATATTACTGTTACATAATTGCATTATCTTCTTCTAAGGACAGGCTTATCCTAAATTAAAGTAATAGAGCTAAAGTAATAGAGGTAATGCATGAGCTTTTCTTCTGATTTATAGTAAGCTAGCAAGGTCACTAAATACTGTCGGAGGTACGTACATCTTGGAAAATGACAAAATAACCTTTATGTGTGGCTGCAGAAGTAAACAGCCATTTTACGATCAGTATCACAAAATCTTTATGTCCAGTCAATGAAGACTGTTTGATTTTTTAGACTAAGAAATCAGTCCCTAAACAGACTTCAAGAGTCAAAGTTTTGGGTGTCAAGCTTGTGAGTTAAGCCTGCCATTAAGTGACCTAGCCACATCTTTTTTTCCCTTGTTCTGAGTCTTTCTGGGCAAGCTCTTAGCAAGCTTTTGAGATTCAGAATTTGTTGGAAGCGCTGTTAAGAGCTCCTCTTGTTTAAAAATGTTTAGTAGTATCTTTTCAAAACTCATTTTAAAAATAATTCAGTGCATACTGAAAATATGTGCTAGAAACAAATTGCTTAGAAGTGTACTGTAGATGACAAGAAATACATCTGAGGTCTCCAAATGCTTGCCAAAAGAACATAGAGTATGAATATCTGGGCTGTTACTTCCCACAAAATTTTGTTCTGATATTACCCCATGTAAGGGTGAAGAAGCTTTCATTGCTAGCTCTGAAGGATTTTTCCTAGCATTTGTTATCTGTTTTCTCAGCCCCATCTTTGCACATTTTGTAACATTTGTTTTTCTTAACATCAACATACTAATTGCAGTGATGGGAGTAGAATCATAGTTTCTCAGAATCAGTATTATGTAGTGAGAACAAAATAACAAATGATAGTAATATTTTGTGGAAGCATTCTTTCTTTAGTTAACAGAGTACTATACATTTAAATAAGCTTTCAAATACTAAATATTGATCAATTTCATTTTTAATGGAAATAATCTCTGCAGCGAGAGAATACCACTGATTATAAGCACTGCTTAATTACAAAGAACGACAATGGAGAATATAATCTTAGTGGAACCAAGCGAAGTTTCAGTAATCTTAAAGATCTGTTGACCTGTTACCAGACAGAAACTGTCCGTTCAGACAGCATAATTTTCCAGTTTGTCAAATGCTGTCCTCCAAAACCTAAAGGTAAGAGATCATTTGTAAGCATTTTCTAAGATTTAAAAATAAATTAAAACTAAATGACTCTCAGGTAGGTAGATACATAGGTTTGTATAGGGTTTTTAAAATTTTGCTGACTTATTTGTTCATAATAGTTTTTAGTTCTAGTGTCTGCCAGATTTTACTTTGTTGTAAGATGGTCTTCCAGAAAGAATCATGGTAGCCAGTTTCATTATTAGAAGCAAAACTGGTTTCCTAATTGCAGTGGATTGTGTATAGCAGCATTTCTTCTTCATGTGTTTTTATGTCTTGAGAAGGAAAGACCTACTTAATACATAATTTCTTACTGAGGATAGTTCATAAGCAGTGGAACCAACAATGCCAGTGATTTTCTTGTTGATATCTTAGCTGAATTATACAAAGGCTATACTGTGATTTCAACTTCTTTTTAACACTGAAAATTACATATGGACTAGAGCTCCTGTTTCAGTAATAGATTTTTCTTTAATGTAAATTAAAGGTTTTCAACTAGCATTGATTTTCATAGTATCTTTCTTTATGAATTCTGATAACATCTGCCCTTTTTGCTTATTATTAGTAGTACTATTTATGTTAATATAGTCTTTGTCTAAGTTCTCATTAAAGAAAAACTTGAGAGAACAGACTATTTTATATCACTTTTGTCTCTCCAATTTAATTGAAATTAGCCAATGGATTAAAAAGCTTAGAGAAGATTTGACAAGTAAATATATGTGCACATTACAGAGGATAATAGTGTAACCATATTTCCATCAAAACCAAAATTGTATATGCATCAGAATTTTAAATTATTGCATAAATATGATTGCACATGAATGCATGCATATACCCACAAATATGTGCCTATTAGCTTTATTTTACTAACAGACCTGCTTTACTTCATGGAGAGTCTTTTTTCAAGATCACTCAAAGAATAATTACTCTGGCAAGCATAATGCAGTGAGAATCAATAAAGTGCCCCCAGGTCAAATAAAGAGGCATCAGAAAGATAGGCACATCTGAAACTTTGTAATATAAAAGAAGAAGGTGACTTACCTCCCCTTTTTCCATCCCATATTGTTATTACAAATACAGCAGAAGTTAAAATATGAAAAGAGGCAGGAATATTTTCAGAATGTTTGTCAAAAGTAGTACTTAAGGAACTTAAAATAGCTGTGTGAACCTAAATGCTTTTGCTAACTAGAAAATATCAGACTTTAAATTTGATTAATGAAATACTGTGTGGCTTTTTGAATAAATTGATTTCAGTGTGGTATCTTTTTTGTTGCATTAACAGCTTCTCAGTAATAAATCTTCTGAAATAATATTGGTTTAGTTTTATGTTTCATAAATTTACTTTGGTTTCCTTTCCCCCATCCTCTTCTCCCAGATAAATCGAATCTTCTAGTCTTCAGAAGCAATAGTGTTGCTGATGTACCTTCATCACCTACACTACAGAGACACAATAATGTCAACCAGATGGTCTTTCACAAAATCCGGAATGAGGATTTGATATTCGTAAGTCCATTAGTTGCTTCTTCCACTGGTAGGTTTAATACACACTAAGTTTTAAAAATCTCAGTATAAGTTTAAAAGAGCCTTATCTGAGCTAGGAGGTTTTACTGTGATCTTCCCTTAGTTAAAATTGTGAGAAAAAAGATTTTTTTTTTCCCTTTAATTTTCCATTATGTTTCTTTACTTCTAGGGATGTCTAAATACATCTATAACAGAACTTCTTCCTGTCTGATTCTTGCAACAAGTTATTTCCTGAGATCCTTGAGGAGCCAATAAAAAAAAGCAAAGACTTAAGCCATTTCTGATGTAGCTGCTTCCTTGTCCTCTCAGTCTGAATCTAGAGGTGTGCTAGGTGTAAAGATGTGCTTATGCATTGTTTAGGGTGTTTGGTTAAGAGATCTTCTGCAAAACAGGCAGAGATTTCTGATTTTTTCCCCATCTGTATTCTACCTTTATTTTAGGAGGAGAGTCTTGGACAGGGCACATTTACAAAGATTTTCAAAGGTGTAAGGAAAGAAGTGGGAGACTATGGCCAGCTCCATCAAACTGAAGTTCTTTTAAAGGTTCTGGATAAAGTGCATAGAAACTACTCTGAGGTTGGTGTGCTTGTTGACTGCTGTGTAATGTTTGTCCATGCTATGCTGAGCATTACTGTTCTGACAACAAATGAGTATTTTTAATATGGTAGAGGGTTATATGTTGAACCAAGCAGTGCAGATATACACTCTAGACAGTTGAAAACAATAAATAAACAACAATGCATTTTAATTTTAATAAGCTGGGTAATACATTCCAAAGGTAAGTGAAAATCTGTTGTTAAAAGGAGCAAGAGTACAGAAATGCAAATATATTTCCTGAATGAAAATATTCTAATTTTGATTGTATTTTGTTGGGTGCCTAACCAGTACACAAGCAAATGTAGTTGGAGATGCCACTAAGGAGAGTTAAAAAAATGGCTAAATCAAAAAAGCATCTGAAACCTTCCTGACAGGGTTAGGTAAGATCTGGTTGTAATGGATGTGTAATATAATACTTCTTGGTTTTCAACTTAATAATGTGCTATGAAGAAATAAATTGGAAACTGAATAGTGTGTTATGAAAGAAGGAATTGGAAACTGAATAGTGAGTCATGAATTTGTCTACAGTTTACTTAGTTAACTGATATGGAAGAAAAGATTCTTTTTAAAATATTGAGGTATACCTGCCTGCAGAAAACAAGATTGCTAACCTCTCTGGAATGTGGATTATCAGTTATTTAAGAAAAAAAGCCAAAACAGACAACCCTAAACCAACCACAAACATAAAATATATTACACAGGGTCTTTGCAATGTGGTGGAAGTTTAAATGTTTGAAAAAATGCACATGGCTTTAATAAATATATTAGAAATCATGTAATTTTGGGAGGGTGTGTTTTCACTGATATTTATTCTTTCTAAATCTCTCTCATTCCTCAAAGTCCTTCTTTGAGGCAGCAAGTATGATGAGCCAGCTTTCTTACAAACATTTGGTGTTAAACTATGGAGTCTGCGTATGTGGAGAAGAGAGTAAGTAAAAATTTTTGTATTAATTTTATACAGCTGTCATCAGACTTTACCATTGGTTCTGGGTAAAACAAGGCAAAAGAAACAAAAAAACCTGTCACACCAGCTGGCTACCCAGCACATGTTCACATTGCATTGTTAGTCTTGATGTCAAAACTAAGTAATATGGTGATAAAGAAAATCGAGAAACTGTGTAAATACAGTCCGTGTGAATAGTAACCTCTGTAAATTATTCACAGTCATATCTGTTCTATCTGAAAATCTCACTTTTGGAAAATTTTGGCCAAGAACATATTATACCAGTTTCTTTGCAAAAATGCCCATGAGTGTTTTTTTCTAGTTTATTCATTGTACCATGCACAGGGACTGCATGTAAAATTTCAGGTAGATTAGTTAATAAATAAAAAATATATCTAAAGATGTATGTGGTTTCCTATTTATCCTTTTATTACAGTTGTCCTTTATAGACAGTTCTGTGAAGGCGAGAGAATTGTTAGTTTAGCAAGACACAGTTACCAATAAATAGGAAAAGAGACATTGTTATTTTTTTTTCTTGTGGGTTACACACTTCATGTGCAGATTGATGAAAATTGCTTCACATAATCATAAATAAAAGTTTGCAGTCTATAAAATGAATGTTTGTGGCAATTCTCAGATGTCATATAGCTTCTAATTTATAGTTAGTTCACCAACAAGGTATCAAAGAAAAAGATGGATAATACTAGAACAGTTAATCTGTCCTGAAATTCCTTTATTTGTTCTTGGTTTTAATTATTACTCTTTTTACTATTTTAAATCAGACATCCTTGTACAAGAATATGTAAAATTTGGATCCTTGGACACTTACTTGAAAAAAAACAAAAATGTTATAAATATCTTGTGGAAGCTGGAAGTAGCCAAACAGTTGGCATTAGCCATGCATTTTCTGGTAAGTAGTTTATTCTTCAGTTTTGTTAGTGGCTGAATTCAAGTGTTTCAGACTAATAAATATAGAATGGCTGAGCTATTGCCCTGCTTCTTGAAACTCTGGAGGGTATTTTAAAGCAGGCTGGCTGTATACTGTATAGCCAAGGACAGACCTTTGTTATCTTGCACAGAGTGTGATTGAATTTCCCATTCAATTTTAACGTTTTAGCATGAAATAAAAACACATTTCCAGTAAAAATTATTTTTCTTTTTTCCAGGAATCACTTCTTTCTGCTTCTCCCACCTCAGCTCATGATTTTGAACATAACTGTTTCCTGGTAGTGTTAGTATTTAAACGCTGGGTGGGGAAAACATTGTGCTGTTCAGACTGCTAGTACATCTTTCTGTGCATTAGGTCTCAACCTTACAGTCTGTTTAATTCAATATAAAGGCCATTATTCAAGACTGAATATGTGATTAGATGAATCTTCCCTTTTACAGAGTTTAAATACTGAGCTCTTATATTCATTTTAAATGGATCATACTGATGGATCAGTATCCTTCTGAGTTACCGTAGATCAAATAGTTTTAAACCGGAAACTTCAGGTAGATAATTAAAGTGAATGAAAATTGGCTAGAAACTATAACTCTGAGAGGAACTGATGAAATGTCTGAGATTTGATCAACTTAATCTATAGTCATTGTTTTCTTTCCTGATGTTTCCTTCATGCTGTAAAGTGCTGGTTCAAATACCTCTTCAACCGTAAGATTTTTTTAAGTATGTAAAAGATGCTTTTCTGTTAATAGGAGGATAAAGGCCTTATTCATGGGAATGTCTGTGCAAAAAACATCTTGCTTATCAGAGAGGAAGACAGGAAGTCTGGAAATCTTCCATTTATAAAACTAAGTGATCCTGGCATCAGTATTACAGTTTTGCCAAGAGAGAGTAAGTCTTCGTGTCAGCTTTATTGTTTAAGGCTTTTGACTTGAAAACTAAGTTAGGGGTGGGTTTTTTTCCTGACCACCATCCCAGGTACTTCTGTTACAGAAAGTTCCTTCATCCATATGTCACTTCGAAGTAATCTCTGCAGTCCTAGTCAGCAGTTTTGAGTGTATCTGCTTTATCAACAAATAGCTACGGGAAATAAAGCCATGGTTCTCCACTGTGTGAGGTTTTTTCCTTACTGTTCTCATTTTCAACTTCTTTTTTTTTCATTGTTACTATCAGTATGCAGTAAGGTGCCATGAGAAAGTCTGTTGCATCTGCAGGTAGCTGCTGGAGTTAGTATCCTATTACTGATCAAGATTAAATTGTTGTATTTTATAGCTTGGTGTATGTCATGGTTTAAGCCCAGCTGGTAACTCGGAACCACACAGCCGCTTGCTCACTCCCCCGCTTCTCCCCCCAGCTCCTGGAGGGATGGGGAAGATAACTGAAAGAACGTAGACCCCACAGGTTGAGATAAGAGCAGTCCGGTAACTAAGGTATAATACAAAGCCACTGCTACTACCACCAATAATATTGGTGGTTGTATTCCCTTATCTGATAAGGGAAATAACAAGGGGAGAGAATATACTAAAAGGGGAAGAGGAAAAGAAAACAATGAACACCAGTGATGAACAATACAATTGTTCACCACCCGCCAACCAATACCCAGCCCGACCTGAGCAGCGATCTGGGCCTTCCAGTTGACTCCCCCCAGTTTATATACTGGGCATGACGTGCTGTGGTATGGAATACTCCTTTGGGTCAGGTGTCCTGTTTCTGCTTCATCCCAGCATCCTGTGCCCCTCCTCACTGGCAGAGCATGAGACTGAAAAGTCCTTAATCAGAGAGTACACATTACTTAGCAGCAACCAAAAACATCGGTGTGTTATTAGTGTTGTTCTCAGACTAAAGTCAAAACCACAGCACTGCACCAGCTACTCAGAAGGAGAAAAATGACTGCTACAGCTGAATTTAGGACAGTGAAGCTTTCAGAGCTGAAAGTAAATAGTATAAAATTCCTCATTATGGAGCCTTTGCTGTGCCATAATGTGCCACGTCTAGCAAAGTACTTTTTACTCTTTGCTGTCTAGTTCCTTTGCAATAGCTAGTAGGTCTCGGTAATACTGGGGGAAATACAGAAGTTGGATCAAAAATAATGGAAATGATGTTAAAGCAGTCTTATAACATTAGGCTTATTTTACAGTAAAACTAATGGTCTTCCGCTCTCATTCATAAGTATTTTTTTTTGTACATATTCTGTAGTTTGGGTTTTTTTAGGCAGAAACAAAAACTTGTAAAGTTATTAGAAGCATGTTACAGAATGATATACCTAAGTATTCTGAAGTCATTTTAACGAAATCAAATGTGTTAGAGAATTTTCTCATTTTATTATTCATCTTAACATGATGTTTCCTTTGCATATTGCACAGTTCTTCTTGAGAGGATACCATGGGTGCCACCTGAATGCATTGAGAATCCCAAACAATTAAGCCTGGCCACAGACAAATGGAGCTTTGGTACTACTTTGTGGGAAATCTGCAGCGGAGGAGACAAACCTCTGAGTGCTCTGGATTCTTCAAGAGTAAGTATTACTGAGTCTGCAGTCGTAACAGTTCTTTGATCACTTCTAATTTAAAACATCTGTTGTTGTAACTATGTCAGCACATAAAGTGTTTTACCACAGTAGGAAAGGACACTTTTACTGGTAGTTAATCATCGTAAGTGATGATTGAGGTTTGGTTTTATGGTGTTTGTTTTTATTTTTGTGGGGATAAAGTACAGTGTTGCCAGTATTACCTTGTTCATGTTTCTGTTGCTTTGTTACAGCAGCATATGACTTCAAACAAAAAGTATTCCTAATGGTGCACATGGATTTTAACTGGCATTGTTCTATTAATTGAACATCTTAAATACTCTATGACTCTGTGTGTTGCAGAAAATTCTATTGTTTTAGCTAAACCAGAAATGTTAACTTTTTTTCAACTAGAGGCAGGGCATGGAGGGAAAACACATTCCATTAAAATACTACTTCTTATGTATTTGCTCCCTTAGTTGAAAACAAAAAGATTATTGCCTTTACTACACTACAAAAAGATTTGTAGTATTATTTTTAGAAATGGACTGTTACCTTCTCACAACGCCTGTTCTGATTTCTCAGGTGTTATAATCAGCTCTTACAGTAAGCTCCAAGGTCTACCTAGACCTAGTTTATAGATCATAGAATCATAGAATAGTTAGG